AACGAATTCTAAGGCAACGCAAATATTAAGGTTAAGAGGCTGAGCTCGTAGATGATGATAAATAACATAGTTATGTATAATATATTACATTTCTGACTGTATATCCCTGTAATTATTACACACTGTAGCTTTAAAACATGAGGAGAAAGTTCCATAATTTATTTTGTTTTGCTGTAATTGTATAAAGATGAATTTCAGCCAGCCTGTAGACAATTTGCTTGAATTTTATTCTATTGTTAATCCAAATATTTTTACATGCTCTCCGAATATCTCTCCATTATCTGTCCTTGTACCATTGTTTCCTCGTTGATCACTATGGCCACAGAGATTTTTTTTATGTAACTTTTGCGCCTGACATTCAGAAGTGCCGAAAAAAATCACAAACTCTGCAGCTGTAGTTGAGCTTCAGATCTGGAAAATGGCTTTATAGGTGGTATATGTTTGCATTTGCATATGCTCCACCCTTGAGGAAGGCACACAGAAAAAAGTTTGCATGCATTCATGGCTGTTCAAATACAAATCACTTTGTCTTTTTTACAGCGCTTTGAAGCCACACAAACCCTCTAAAGCTCAGGCCCTAAGTGTTAATACTTAGTCTTTTCCTATTGGAAGTTTTTTTGTAGTACCTTTTTAGTACTATCTGTAGTGGTTGGGTAATTGAAATATAAAACTTGCTGACTTTGTGCATCAGTCCACACAAAAACTCCTCTCCTTTACACTGCTGAAAACCAAAACAGCACCACCCCCTTAAAACCCCAGAACCTTTTCACCACATCTTCCTGTTTAGAAACACCAAATAAATTTCACCTGACTTTAAATGCCATTTTTTACTTAAAAAACAAACATATATATAAAAAAAAAACTTAATGCGAAAGAATTGGTGACGGTTTCACTTGCTCTTAGGATGTGCGGTTTGATTGACAGCAAAGGCAGCAGCAAATATAAAAGCTTTCACCAGTGTCCTTGAAGTTACTGGGTGTACTCCACATTTTAGTGAAAGTCTCTAAAAGCAAATCCAAACAAGGATTCATCATCTGAGCTTGTTCCAAGAGGTAGAAAAATGGGATAAAAATGTTGTCCTGCACAAACAGGTGATAATAATCTCAGTAGCAAAATATTGAGCAGCTCCACAACAAAAGGCTGTGTCCACTCCAACCTGACTATGAATGCAAATGCGTTCAGAGTGCATCTACAACCTTTTGTTTCAACTACCACACTAATGCCATTAATTTCATGCCACACGGGGGAAATACCTCACATGGCCTATGTGAAAAATCTAAAGCACCTCTACCTGAAGGCTCCAATTTTTTGTCTTTTCTAAGACTTTTCATGCCACTATTTATATTTAAGCAGTTCCAAAGAATCAACTGTGGTTAAAAACATTTGTATTAAATAGTTTAAGAGTGAGATATAAAGTAAGGAAAAAAATATCCCCCTTTCTTTCTCTTGCCAACCAAACTCACCCTGCAGAAGTCTAGCAGACAGGAAGGGGACCAGAGATGCAAAACAATCAACATTCCTCTGATCACGTTGGGGATGAAACACACACGCGCAAGCACACATGGAAGTTACATAAGAAGCTGAATACCTAGAGCTACCTCTAAATATACTCCTTTCTAAACAAATCAAAATTTGGCCAAGCAGCAATACCTCTGGTAGTCTCTTAAGGATGCTGAACTTCAGTCGCTCATTGGCTTCACTGTTGTCCAAATCTGAAAAAAAAAAAGATGACAATTTTGTAAAGTATTGAATTAGCATGCAACATCTCATTGAGATGCATAATCTTAGGAGGAAAGGAGAGAAACAAAAAATTAAACCCCAAATGGAATACAACACAACTTAATACCAGTACAAGGTAGAATTCTTCAAAAATCCAAGTTTGTTTTGAGGGCAGTTTTTAGACAATATTAAAGGCTTTGGAAGCTATCAAGTGTCAAACATACCCCCATATGCAAGAGCAAGAAAGAAAAAGGCTGTTTCCAGAGCAATGCAGTATAAGAGAGCCACCATGCCAATCTGTCTCCAGTTTTTTTTTTTTTTTTACCAGAAGAAAGAAGTCATGCTTGTAAATAATACAACTAAATTCTGTCACAATTTAAACTCCTATGGGATAGGGACAGAAAAAAGGGCTCTTCAAACAAATCTCACTGATGATCTAATTTGGATTTTGCTGGTTTTCTATGCTAACAAAAGCAAAAATGAACCAAATTGTGCCAGTACTGCATTTCTAATGAAACCTGTAGCTACATACGTTTCTAGGTCAGAGGTATGATGTTGGTGTCCAGGTACACATCTAATAACTGCATTCCAGATGTTACAATATAATATATGAATCCTTATAGTACAGTCGATCACCTCTCTTAAAGGTATAGTGGAGGATGTTCTTTTTTGGGTTCGATCATCAAAATAAGTGGTCCTCCTAATTGTCAATCATTCTAGTGATATGTTTACATAAGGCTGCCATACGTGCTCGTCCCCATTTTAAATTACGGGTGATGAATCTGACATAGTGGAAAAATTGCAAATCTTTTGCAAAGTAAGCTTGTATAAGCCATGCAAACAGCAAGTTCTTAAAGAGCTTGCACGAGGAGTAATAGGCTCATGCATGCTCTCGCATGCTTTTAATAGGTGTTCCCTCTCGGGAGCGGGTACAGGGTTGTGCATGTGCATTTTATTTAAGTTGAGAGGGTGGGTCTTTTTTTTTTTTAATCATGAAAATCCTCCACAAAAGTAATAAATCAATTTCCCAGTTTTCTCCACAGCTTGTTATGGGAAAAATGTTGCTACTTTAAACATGGCATGAGCATATGAATTCCTTTTTATTGCTGGTGCCTTCTGTCCAGACTAATTTAGAAAGCAATAACAAAATAGGGGGCTAATATAAATCCTTGAGGAACACCCATACATGTGTGTGGTGCTGATGTATTTCCTGCTGTTGTGAATATGTTCTCAGATAAATATTTAAAGACATCAATTTATCTGAGGGGAAGCCAGCACTGCCTGTCTCTGGCTGTGATTAAATGTTTAAGAAACAGCAGTAACTTTTTCACATATCCCCCAACTGCAGACAACTCTGGCATGAGGGCACTATTAATGACTTTTTCTTCTGCATTTCTCTCTAAAATAATTCTTCTAAAGACTTGCATTACAAAAAATGCATCAGAAAAATCATTTAAATACCAATTCGACTGCTTATCTTCAGCATGTTGGCAACTGCATCTTTTATCTCATCTTGTAAATTATGTAAAATGTGGGTGAAAAAATGATGTAGTCTGAGGTCAGAACCCAGCCCAAAGGAAAACCCGTCCTCTGGAGAGAGGGTTCAGCTGTAATTAGAAGCAGATTTTCAACACCTGAGAAGCCAATTATAATAAATTAAGCACACTGCGTGTTGAACAGAGACCTGAATATCTGATTCATCCCCAAGGAGAGAAGCGCAGACCCCCAATCACTACACAATCTTTAAGTATCAATTTCTATCCTTTTTGAAGTTTAAAACCGTTCAGCTTGAGCGTGTTACACAGTCACAGTGTCACTGTTCGAGTTTTATTATTAACAAAAACATTTTGCCAGGAAGGAAGGATCTGACAAAGTTTCATTTGATTTGATTTAGGATTCGAATTGCTAAATAGAACCTGTCTTACTACATGAAGTAGGCTAAATAGCAAACAGCAGCACATTTAAGCTGGAGCTAAATTAAAGAACAAAGAAAATATTAAGTTTTTTTTTTTATGTCCAGTGTGAGCTAATAGGGGAATCTTTGCATAATGAGCACAACACTGAGAAATAGAACAAATCAATCACAGTGTTGTTTCTGGTTGTTAAATTTAAGTGACAGTAACGTTTCCCAGAGTGCAAGTTCAGTAGAAAATGTATCTGACAGAAAAGAGCATTTAGGGTTAAGGCCTAAGGAGTAACCTTAAAGAGATGCTTTACATTTCCTTGTTTTCAGTTGATAGTAGTATAAAGGTTTGCAAAAAGATAATGGAAGAAGAATAATGACCAATCTGATCTCATAAATACAATTTCACTAGTATTAAAGCTCTGTTTGATTAACTGTGGGCTGGAGAACCATTGTGTTTACAGGCGCAATCTCTTTAATTTAACCATTACTTTTTATTTTACATAGGATTTTTTTTTTTTACACAGTTTATACAGCTACTTTAAACTACATTACTTTTTGTAATAAGATGAATTTTGTGGCTTTAGAGGAAAATTCAGAAAGTAGTTTAGGCAGGTGTGACCTAAAGTAACCTTAACTTAGATGACTATGGTTGACCACAACCATGCTGACAGCTGTTAGGCTCGTCAACACCAAAAAAACACTGATATGAAATAAGCAGGTCAGACAGAGCACGAAAACCAGGCTGAGACTAAAAAAGGCAAATGTGATGGTCAGACAGAGCACGCAAACCAGGCTGAGACTTAAAAAGGCACATGTGATCTTGTGTAAAGTGATCGTCATTCACATGCAGATAGGGAATTCTAACAAATATTTTTAGTGTGAATTTTATCTCTTCAGCTCTACAGACTTTGTGTTACAGTTTTGCCAGCAGTTATTTCATATTCTGGGGTGTTTTCATATATAAAACCTGCCTTTAGCATTTAGAAAAGGTCATTTTTCTTTGTACATAATAACACATTTGGGAAAGTTAAAACGAGATAAATGTTGCAGCAGCTCTGACCAGTTTTCCTTTAACTACTGCAGGGAAATATCCCTGTACCGTCATGCATGCTGCCATTGTGATGTTTCATAATGTAGGACAGGGATTCCCAATTCTAGTTATTAGGAATATAATCCACACATAGTTTGTTGCAACCTTTAATGGCACTTATTAGAGCTTTCTTTGAAAATTGGTTACCTCTTGCCCCTCTTCCATAAAAGCTACAGCTGTGTGTTGTTGGACTTAACTAATTTTCCCACCTGGGCCATGGATCTCTGATCACATTAACATAAAACCCTTATATTTATGTTTGCAATTGCGAAACAGACTTTCTTTTTTCCCATTATGAACTGGACGGTGCTCCATTACACATCCCTACCAAAAAATAACCCTTGTCCTTTCTAGTGTTCATTAATCTTAGTGATGTTTTCCCACATCCCGGTAACTTCTTTAGGGAACTGCAGAAATACCACAGTTTTGTTAAGGCCTCTTAGAATAAATTACACTCTTTACAAAAAAAGAGGCCTCTGAAAATGTACAAATATGAAGAGACCAGACCTAGGAGGACAAATGGACCCTGCAAATTGAAAAGTTGCTTTCATTCACAAATGAACTTAGTCGATCTGAATCATGTTAAGAATCTGAAAGAGCAGCATTAGAGCAAGACTGCATAACTTTTTTTGACGCAAGAATTAATTTCATTTTAGATAAATAATGTTTCAGGTCTATGTAGAGAACTTGGTGTTTATCGATGCTCTGTAATATGAGAGGGTCGGCCCTATCACTGAATGTTTTCAGCGGGACGTTGAGCTGTAGCATAGCAGTAAAATCCTCTGACATCTGAAACCAACTATAGACAATTCAAAGGTAAAGACTAAGAGACAATAAAAAAGGACTATAAAATGATTCATTGTGCTAAAGGGACATTATCCTGGCCTGACGGTCTCACCTGGATAATGCTTTGAACCCTGAGTAAAGGATGGCATCTCTTAAAGTCACTTGAGTTGCTAATTCATCTTTGACAAACCGGAAGCCAGGCCCCTACAATCAATAAATGCTGTCCTGAATTACACACCAAGACCACAAACCACTAAAGTGTGACACCTACTGCATAATAAGCCAGTCCTCTTCATAGAAGAGCATGTTCACTTAACCAGAGCTTCTCTCTGTTCCACTATGGCCTCTGTCCCTGGTATCAACACCTCATCCTCTGTGGCGTTTTATACCAACTGCTCCTCTTCCAGCACTTTTCTGTTGTCCTGCGTGCATCCAGCATACATCGCTGCAGCTGTAATTGCTACCCTCAGCTGCCTTTTGGGTATCCCGACTAACCTCCTCATAATCGTGAAACTCAGCAGTCGTCTGCGAGGCACCTCCATGACGAAGCGTCTCTTTTTCAACTTGGCTTTGTCAGACCTCCTCTCCCTGTTTTGCGTACTGGTTGCTGGAGTCATTTTTGCCACTGGACCCCATTTGCCACATAAATTGTGCCAGTTTTTCTTTTATGTCTTCTTATTCTGCGTAACCTCCAGTTCCAACATCCTGCTGCTGATAAGCATTCAACGATACTACAAGGTATGTCATTCAAACTCCATTATTGTAGGAAAACAAAGTCAAACTGTGGTTGTTGCTGATTATACTCTTTGGCCTATTTAAGAAACACTTTACTGTTTTTGACAAAAAGGAGCCCACATACTTTGTATCTTTGTGGTGTTTACCGAAGGGCATTTCCTTTCCTTTATTTGGAGACAAATGCATTTTAAAGCCCCTGTAACACCTTGACGATTTATCCAGAGTATGCCTGACATCCCAGAATCTCCTTAAACGCTGGTTTATGCCGAACTTTCTATATATCTTTTTCAATTTTGGGTGTATACATAAAGTTTTCATAACGACTTATGTCCAACGACAGCCTAACTTATGCATAACGCACAGCAGCATAATGCCCATAAAAGGTCACAAGTCAGTGTCCTGAGGGGGGCAGCGATGCGCCCGGAGGCGCCGCGCCTACATAAAAAGATTTCTTTGATCGCTGTAAAAAGAACAAGAGATTCAGCGTCATGTCTGTTAGGACGTTTGTTGGTCATGGCTGTGGCCGTGAATGCAGGGAGGATCCATCACACTCACCTTCTCGTCACCCTATGATGGGGATGAAGTCTGGAGGATTATTGCACCGAATTGCACCAAACCGCTGCCAATATACCATAATACAGTAGCTGTAACTTAGAAAGACGTAAGCTGTCGTCTGGAACATGCGTTATATGTTAGAGATAAGTTCTTGATAAGTTATGCACAAGTTACTCATAGGTTTTAGATAAGCTAGACACCACAATTTATGAGTGACTTAAATTTAACCTATGTTAACGATCAAATAACTGTAACTTATGCCCTACGTATGGCATATGCTGGCATACATCAAGACATACTCGCCATATGTCCATGTGTGCCAGCGTGTTTCAGCGTGCTTAAGCGTGCTCATAACTTATGCAACATATGCCAGTGTTTCTGCCAGATCTTTTGTACGCTGTCATACATTGGCTTTAATCATCAAAGTGTGACAGGGGCTTAACAGACACACCTCATTACCTCAGTGGTCCACAATTTCAAGCACAATAACCGGAAGTCTAGAATTGCTTGACAAACAGATGGAAAATAAATTTTTTTATTTAACTAAGAGAAGAATTAATGAATAGTTTACATTAAACATTGTGTAAGACTATGTAAAGAGATATCTGGCTAAAACTCTTATTTTTTTATTTCCCAGATTCTCCATCACTCTAAGTGGGAAAAAGTGACCCGAACATGGCAGAGGGTTTTACTTTCCTCTGTATGGATGCTTGGGGCTCTACTTTCTCTACCACCTGCTCTTTTACTTAATGAAAAGAACAAGGGAGATATGCCATCCAACAGTAGCTGTAGGAATAAAGAGATCCACCCAACAGCAGAGCTAGTCTACATTGCTATATTAATGTCAGGTCAACTAGTTTTGCTGTTCTTTTACATAAAGCTTGTCAGAGGTGTAAAGAACATTAAAATGTCGGACAAGCTAAAGCAAAAAATTAATAGGCTCTTCAGTCGGATCCTTGCTGTCTCTTTGGTTGACTTTTTACCTCTGATTGCTCGCCTTGTCGCTGTTGCTGCCCACATTACACACTTAGAAATGTTGTATGATATTAACAAGTATCTGACATGTTTGGAATGTATTTACTTTTTAAATCATTGTATGAATCCACTGCTGTTTTTCTTTGCCTCTCGACATCAACTAGGAAACAGAGAAAAGAAGAGAAAGCTCTTCCTCATGGCTCTTAATGAAAGTTCTTAACAACAATCTCCTTTAAACTTTTTATAGGTGTGATATTAATACAAATAGATTATATTGGTGTGATTCTATGTGCCATTTTTCTTTTTTTAAAGGTGTATTTTGGCATTAAAATGGCTCAAGACTGAGCCTTTGTTCTGTATTTTCTTCTAATGTGTTTCCTAAAATTCCCAATTCTAGAAGTACTTAAGTTATTACAATAAATTTAAGGAAAGAAGTGAATTTAGAAAATGATTTGTATTCTCTGAATAATAAATTGAAAAATCTGGATCAACATTAGAAAAATTAAACAGATCTTACTTTCGCTGCCAAGCTTTTCGTATGTTTCCACTTTAAGGCTAGATTACTTATTTGCTATAACCCTAATATTTATCTACCTCCATAATCTTTGGACTATTTTGTTGTCATTTGGGTTTTACGAGCTGGCTCATTTTAAAGGTGCATACACACCGAATGCGGTGTCTGCAGCGAGGGCGGTGGATTTACATAGTATCTCTGTGCAAACCATGAGGGGAAGAATGCAGGCAGCAGTAAATTTCACATGGTAGGAGAGGTCACTGCTCTGCTCTCACCACGTGCTGCTAGACGGCACTGAGGTGATTTCAAATTAAAGCAGCACAAAAAACTGTTTCAACTCCACAAATCTGCACTAAAGCAGCACTAAAAAATAGACCACTTGGGTTCAATTGAGAGCTTAATGAGGGGATGGTTAACCTCTGTGTGACCTAAAATTATTATCTATAATATATCTGCAAAAAAAGTAGATCATTTTAGCTGTACAAACCTGCACTAATATATCATTATTTTGTCTCTTTTGTTCTGTGATCAAATTTTGCTCCAGTCCATTAAAGGCTTAAGTGTCAGACATAGCCTGTCCTTTTATAGAGCAGGTCGTGGCAATTTTAAGGAGAACTTAGCATCCTGTTTCTTCAGGGATCAAAATGATGATTTAATCTTTCATTAAACATTTTCTAGAGTTTTTTTTTTTTTTATTTGACTTCTTTAATTAGACCTCAGCCCAGTTCGAATCATGCCCTAACGCTTTCTTTGCCAGTAGGGTTTAATCGGACTGGGGCGGGTGCTGGGGGGTGTCTTTGAAACATTATTTGAATAACTTGAAATTTTTATCATTTTCAAGTTATTTAAAATAGGGAAATCTGGCCAAAATTTCAAGTTCATGAATTATTATTTTTTTTTTAAGTAGGTTTCATCAATCAGACCTTAACATTGTGAATGAGGTTTTTACACTTGGGTTTTCACCTGTTGGTATGTGAATAGCTCAACACTGGTCTTACTATTGAAAGACTGAGGGGGAAAAAGTGTTAATTTGTGGGATTGCATTGCATTTTTTTTAAGTCAAAGACTCTTGCTGACTAATATCTTAATTAAAATCAGTGGAACTAAAACTAAAATCTGACTGAAGTAGTAAGTATGAAGTAGTAAGTATTTAACCATGTTTTTGCTAAAATAATTTACATTTTCATCTAAAGACTACAGTATAGGCCAACACTAATTTGAATAGTTTTAAAAGTTGACACCTTTTAAATACCACATTAGATTGGACCAAAAACAAAAGCGTCTATAAAGCCTCGAACTCAATGTTTTTTTTTGGACATTTTGAATTGAAAAATCTTCCTGGATGGGACGTGAAATGTCTTTAACTTGGGAAACAAAGTCCAATTGATTGTTTTTTAAATTTTTTGGAGTGACTATGACCTGGATGACTTAGAATCTTCACCAGCATTTTGCTCTGTATGATAACCAAGAAACAATTGCAAAGTATTTAACTGATTTAAATCAGTTAATATGTTTGTATGGATTAGATTTTTAAGTTTCTGCAGATAATTATTCATTTTTCTGGTAACAGATTGAGATGACAGTTGCTGTAAATTGGTATTCCAAGACATTTGATTTAATTTAAAGTTTAGGTTTCTTATACAGAAATAACAAATAGAGCATGAATTATTTCCAAAGCAATATTATGCCAAAAAGGGGGTAAAAAAAAACATTTTACATGTAGTGTCCCATAGATGCAATTGGTTTTGCAATCTAGACTAACATTGAGTGAAAGCATTCCAGGCATTTAAAGAAACATCTTCAAATACTATGAAAAATGTTTGTCTGCGATCCGTTTTAAAGTTAACAAGAATGACAGGCTTTTTCCTTTCAAGGTTTTCTGCTTGCAGAGGACCTTAGCTGATTTATTTTGCCTTAAAAATGTGTCGGTGTATTTACACACAAACCTGTCATAAGACGAGACACGAATGTTTCGGTGAGCTGCAGGAAACCGTGGTCAATGTACTGTAGAAAGGTTTGATGAGGGAGGCAACGAACAGCAAACACAGCAAACAGGGTGTGATAGCCTGGAGAAAACAAAAGGATGGCATGAGAAAAAATAAAGGAAAAAGGGGTGAAATATTCATAGAGGTAAAGCTGACTTTGTGGAATGAATTGTATACGAAATATTGCACGCTAAGATTCATGAATTAGCTCAGTCCAAAGTCACTTTAAAATGAAAGCTTTACTCCTGAGTGACTAAGAGGAAAGAATTATGTACCAAACAACTGCAAACACTGTGAAATTAATTCAAATGAGTGAAAATGTATTCCCATCCTCCAGGAGCTTTGTCAGCATTCCGCTAATGCACAGTTCTGTTGTGCCTCGCTGGGAATGCGTGTTTTTCTTTTACGGCTCACAGGGAGACAGACAGGATTATAAGAACAAGTAAAAATGTGATTGTGCACGATGCTACCAGGTGGGAGGGGCAGGCAGAGACTCCGGGTGGATTCCAATATCCGAAGCATGAAGTGAAACACGGCCCATTCAGCCGAGCCGCCCTTCTGCTTCCTGAAGCCCACAAGTCAAATCGAAGAAAGAAAAAAATAAATTATAATGAAAGGATTATATAACTCGGGCATCAACAGTTTCCAATGTAAACACAGCAGTGCATGTGCCTCTTCTTAGCTGGAACGCCTCAAAGTTGTCTAAAGAGGAAACAGAACTACTTACAAGCACAAAACATGAGGGCCGAGTTTGTTCTTCAGCCAGGCTGACTCCAGCATGTGCCTGATGAGCTCCAGCTGAACACAAACATAAGTTTACATGTTTTGAGAAAGACATACTCCATTAGATCCAAATAAAATGTTTCCCTCAGATGAAATCGGCTGCCTGGAAACTTTGCAACAAAACAATCATTTTTAAGGTTTTGCATGAAAAGATACAAAAATATGTTATTTCTGCTATAATGATTGGAAGGCCCATAAAATCCGGACCTTCAAAGTCCCGTCTCTGAGGGAAGGTATCTTTCTACATTAATTTTATGTAATTAGTTCAACACAAGAATCAAACACTTGAATTGTCTTATTAGCACAGAGTGAGATTATACAGAGTCCTGCTGATGATCTACTTATCTGATTTAGGTGTTAAAAAGGAGACATCTCTAAAAGTTGCAGGCCACTAATAAAGGCCTCTTCCCTTTATTTAGGTTGTATTTAGGTTTTTTTATGCCCTACAGATCATTGCACTGGTTTAGCATGACCTTAGGGTCACACAGAACATCCTCTGGATTTTTTATAATTCTACCAATTACAGCAAGTCATGTATGCCAGAGATGGTTTAAAAAGAATAAACAAAACGGCTCCAGTCCATCTTTTTACCACTATCATGTTTGATTGATGGGGTGATTTTTATGTTTTTGAAATGTCTCAGGGATGCAGTTTTTAAAGAAAGTTGCTCAATATTGATGTTAACCGAGGTAAGTGAGGCCTGTAGGGTTTTAGATGTTTAGAGTTCATTTGTGAAGACCTGGAAGAGATGACAGAAACTGTGTTGCCATTAGATATGCACGCAAAGACATGTCGATATTCTGCTAATTTTGACAATACAAAGTTTTGCATATACAGTATTTTCATTAAATAACAAATGCAGTTCAAATTGCAGGTGACGACGTTTGTTGAAAAGATGACTTTATCCACTTCAGGTCTTCTTCTTCGTCTTTTTACAAAGCAGTAAGGTAAAGCTGCAGGTCAAGTGACCCATTTGATGCAAAAAATATGTTTCCATTGTAGTTTTGCAAAACAAAAATGTCATTACTCAGTGAAGCGGAAAAAACGTTTTAGCAAAAAATTTGCAATTTTTCCAAATTGCAGTATATTCATTAAAAGTATTTTCTTTGTGTAATTATAGTTTGCAAAGTTTGATGGTTATTTGAAACGCAGCTAGTGAGCTTATAGAGTGATCATAAATTAGTTAGTAACACCTCGGAAGGTTAAGTGTTTTGTGTTTTCTCGATTCGTCCAAAAACCTTAAAAATGACCTCTTTCCTGAGTATGAATTAGTTTGTTTTTCATATGTTCTTAATTTCTTAAACTGATTTTGTTATGGTTCTCTCCTTTTGGACTTTGAGTTTTCAGTTATCTATGTCCTTCTCTTTTGTTGATCTTTGGTTTATTTCAATTTTGTGTTATAGTTAAGCAGTGTTTAGTTACTCTCTGTTGCCCCCTTGTGTCTGTCTCCTTTCTCCTAGCTCCCTTCTAGTCACTTCCATCCACACCTGCTCCATATCAGCTGTTTACCCCAGTCTTTGTTCTGTCTCCCATATATACTCTCCCTCTGCAGTTCTTCAGTGCTGGTTCCTTGGTGTTACTTCGCTCCCCATGTGTGTTTTCCCTTGATGTCTGCAAGAACTCATCTTTGCCTCCCTCCTCTCTGCATTTGGGTCCTCAACCAACCTCCACCCTCACGTTGACAGCCCTACGATGTTAGATAAGTTGTATCTGAGGTTTCTAAATATATCAGCCAGGTATTATTAGTATTCAAGACTAGGTGTAGCTAGGCACATCCCTATTGTGTAAGTTGATTTAAGCAGCATTCCCTCCTTGATACATACATACAGTACATAAAGGTATAGAGAAGGCTGTTATTTTAAAGGAGAAGTCTGGTCATATTCAGTATTCAAACTTCTGAAAGTACTTTAAATATCAAATTATTACCTACTGTTAAACAAATAAGTGCTTTTAATTAAGAGTAATTTTATTTGAATGTGCTTTACTGGAGAAATCCATGTTTGTCAAAGAACAATACTGCAACCTACCGGTTTGTGACGTCATTGGCTGTTGAGCAAAACCCAATTCTATATCTGGTGTTTTTGTCACGGTGTGCTATTATCCAAGTCATCTTGAAAACATTCTTCTTCAAGCTGTTGGCCACATATTATGTGTTTTTTCTCTGGCCAGAAGGTCGATGGCAAATCCTCCCTCTTCGAGTTGACATTCCAACGACCACAACCGCAGTAACTCGTCCGTGGAGGATCATGATTTGGAAAGGTGAAACAACTACATTTTTTTTTCACTTCTACCCAATGTATTACAACATCCAACTGCCATGCACTTGGGCATGTCAGTTTAACTGTAGCTCTCACAAATTTCAATGGTGAAATCTTTAAGAATTGTTGATGATGGCAGATGTGTCCATTAGTTCCCAATGAATGGCGCTAGGCTTACTGGCCCGTGACTTCACTGCCAAAAGATGTCAGGAGTGAGGTGAAACAATATTTGAGCATAAATTTTAATTCATTGAATCACTGCAAACATATTAGTTTTAGGTATAGAAAATGATCCATTGATCATTCCTTGCCGACCGAACTTTTCCTTTAATGGGTGGATCGTCAAAATAAGTGGTCCTCCTAATTGTCAATCATTCTGGAGATATGTTTACGTAAGACCGTACTACGTGCTCATTTTCACTTACTGATGGTGAGTCTGACATAGCGGGAAAAATGACAAATCTTTTTTTGGAAAGTAAGCTTGCATGAGCGATGTAAACAGCAACTTTTAAACAGAGTGTGCATGAGGAGAAATGGGCACGGGATTGCTCTCATGTATTTAATAGGTGTTCTCTCTCAGGAGCAGGTAGAGGGTTTTGCATGTGCTTTTTTTAAGTAGAAAGGGTCGGTCTTTTCAAAGATTTGTGGAAATCCTCCACTATACCTTTAAGAACTAAATTTTTGATTCACAAAGATTAAAATTGCCTGATATTTAGTGGTATCTGAAAGGAATACAACAAAAAAAGAAGCAACCTGTAAGGGTGAAAAAACCTATTCCCAGCACACCTTTTCTAAAATCTATTCTCCCACTTCCCTTTTCCCCATTCAATTTCCTCTAAATAACACTTAACTCTCTCAGCTTGTTTCGCAATAAGTTTGACCACAACCGAGATCATCCTAGCGCTGGTGAGTTGTTTGAAAACAGCCAATGTTTTTTTCACCAATGAGTGTTCAGCTGTCTCCTGAACAATAACAGGAAGACAGTCTGCCTCATCCACATCCTGAGCACCAGTGGGAAACCTGCACCTAATGCCAGCGGCAACATCCTCCTTTGACCTCAGGGTAGTAGTTTCAATTAGCTGCTCTTATGTAACAGATAAGCCCGGAAAAAGGGAAAAATAGAAACACACATTGCGTTTCTCTGGGCCTATTTTCATAACTTCCTAATTCCCCGATGAAAGCTGAAGTTTTCAAAACATACGTCATAACTTTTTCAGCATTTGAACACATCAAACAAATTGTTATTCTTATGTGAAGAGCTCAAATGAGTTTTAAATATTGGGATTTGCTTCCAAAAACTCACTAATTATTCAGAGAAAAGGTCTATTTTTCCAGCTTTTTTATGTCTTATGATAATGGTTATTATAAAGTTGTTGTTTTTTAAACATTTATATATTTATTTAAAGGCAACCAAGATACAGACATTTTAAAGTCGTAAAATAAAGCTTTTATTACAATACATAAATCATCAGTTCCTTTAAAAATGTTTGACATAATTTAAACAATTTTTCTTTTCAAAAAAACAAAGGCAACAATCATTCATACAGCTACTGCAGTTTTCTTATGCTACATTCACACCGGCCACGCTTTGGGCAGCAAAAAAGTGCGTGCTGCTTCCTTTTTGATGATTAAGGTCAGACGTGCCTCAGGAGCATCTTTAACCCTCCTGAAGCTTGTCCAGTAAAGCGTGTCCAGATGCGTCTGATGCTTCTGCTGCTCCTGTGTTTAATGCCAGAGAGCAGCTTTGCTATATTTGCTCTCATAAACTGGTAAAAATTAGCTTTAATATATTTTTTAAGTGAATAGTCCACTTAAAACGTAGTTTGTGCAGTCAGTTCATCAAGATTACAATCCTGTTTTCAAATATTATTTTGCTGTAGGGGCTGCGCAGATCCCCACATACCAGCCGTCCACTTGGCACAAAGTAGATATAAGCATTTTTCACATACTGTACGTAATCAAAACTGAAGGCACCAAAGGCACCAGAATAATAAAGGCGAACGTATTTTGCTGGCAGGTTTTAAACATTTTAATTTATTTTAGGCGTTAATATTTTGTTGCAGCGGAGTGATCATAGCGTTCTGCATCAGTAGTGCTGTGTCTGACTCCCTGCCAGCTCACAGATCAGCTTCTCTTATTGGTTGATGTGGCGCATGGAGCGGCAAAAGTAAAAAATTTTCCAACTCCAGCAGCTGCTGCTTATAAAGCACGTAACGCGCCTCAGAGAATTGATTTGGGATGGCACATGCATAACTGACATATCCGTATTTGACAAGTAAGGAAAAAAGTTCAACTTTAGGTCATATAAATCATAGGAATGAGTATAATCTTAGATAAAACCAAAATGGCAGCATCTGGGTTCTGTTTTTAACACAGTTGCCTTGCAGCGAGAATGACTTTAAATTCCAGCCTGGGGTCTTTCCCATTTTGAAAAGTTAAACATAAAATGAGACTTTACCTCTCTATACTCACAAAACAAATGACATTAATATTCATTTGTTTAATCTGTTGGTTTAATTTTTTTATGAGAATTATTAAAACACAAATGATTGTTGAAGGGTAAGTATTTCATGATAGGATGGTTGTCCTAAAAAAAAGTTTTTTTTTTAATGTTAAATAAAAAATAAAAAAAATTTTGTTATCCATAATAGTTCTACAATAATCCATTAGTTGAATAAAAGGATTTTTAAACATTTTTACTTAAGGCTACCAATTAATATGTTTGTAAAAACTCCCAAACAATTAGAAAAAAAAAATAAATATGGCAAACAGTCATAGACTCATGAATAAACATGATTTGGCCTTCACTGAAAAAATGAATAAGGTCTATACAAAGCAATTAAAAAGTAATCGGTGAGGATCTCCTGTAGCAGAATAAACAAACCCTGGGGACAGAACAACTTCTCATTTTCGGAAAGCTGAATATCGCAGCCAGTTTGATTTAATTGCGTTAGTGTTAAATATGTGAGCAATTCATACCCAGCAATTAGCAGGTTATTCTCTGTCTGAACTGTTTGTTGCAGCTTAGGCGGGAAATAATAAATATCACTGACAATAATGCAGAGTGGAGCTGTAATCTATCAGAGCAGAAACTTCCCTACCTCCTAAAAGCTGTAATCTATTTCATCCCCTCGGTGTCCATGCAGCCATTAGTCTAAATAAGCACCAACAAAAGGAGGACATGATCTGTATTTGTAGAGGAGTAGTCAGGTCTTTTGTTTTTTTTTATTTGAAGGATGGCTTAGCCTGACTATACAACAAGCTACTAGGTTTGTCGTCTGCACTTAAAATAAAGTGACCCTAAAGGCTGATTCTGTTTGAATAATTCTGTCTCTATCTCCGTTCCACTCGGCTGGATAAACCCAGTAATCACCTCGTGTCTCTGAGCCGGCGCGCGGCCAGAAATGATTACACGGCTACCTATTTCCGTTACATTCAGCAGGATGTTGAAGGTGTGTGGTTAAATTCCACGAGCTTGTCACAGCAAGGGAGGATTTCTTCCTCTCCGTTCCTATTTTACCTCTGCGAGTCTCAAAAACTTGGCATTCTGCTTTCTATTCAATCCAAGACTTACCCTTGGCCTGATTTATACTGCCGCGTTGATGTATGCTGTATGTCTGCTTTCAGCGCCCCGAAACCGTGGGGGGATTTACGTCAGTGGAATATTAAAACCTGACTTTACAGAACCAACAGTCCCAGTGAGACCCAGGACAAAGGCCTGGTGTCTCCTTTTACGTGGAAATATAAAGGAAAGCATCACCTGCATTTAATCTATCAAAAGATAAAATAATCTTCTGTAAAGTAAAATATATACCTTTACTTCATTTGTTCTAAATAAACCAGTTGAGTTTCTTGTGTTAAATCCCTGTAATAGCTGTATTCAGCCTTATAAAGTGCTTTCATTTAATGCGTGCTGACTCTAAGCTCTATGATGTTGACTTTAGTAGCTCTGAAGAAACTGCAGCTTTAGGAAATATGCAAATCAAAGCCAAATATAGAGACCCTGACATGAAGGTGACTTGAAAACCTGCAGGTTTCTTTGTTGGTCTTTTTGTATTCAGACAAAACAATTATCAGCAGCGGTTCATCCAACATTGGTGCATAAAAGTACTGGCAGAGTCTGAGTTCTATGAGACTGAAAGGTTTCCCTTTTTATAAAAAAAAATACTTTTTTTAACCTATATATCAAAATAGTTGCGTTCGCTGTTTTTATTTTAAATATTTTTTATCCGTTTTTTTTTTTATTTCCATTTCCTTCACCACGTGTCATTATTTGGTGAAATACAACATTTCTCATACTTCATCTCAGTCAACTCTTTCATGAGCTTATTGTGCCGCCCCTACACTACAAATTGCACGCACACTTCCTTAACAGTGAAAATTAAAAACAAATTAATCAAAATGGGTCCTAATACCAATAAAATATTAGAAAATATTTTGTGCTTTTCCAAAAGCAAATTTGAAGAAAGTTTCATTCTCAGACTTTCGTATTTCCTTTAAAATGTTATTTTTGTCCTTCTGTTGAGATAAAAGTGCAACCAGATGTTTCCTTTCAAACTATTGCCAGTTCTTACCTGCCTCAGAGATGTTTCTGTCCAAACTGCATGGGAGAATTACCTGCTGACTACTAACATGCTCTCTGGCAACCCCCAACTGTCTTTGGTCTTGGTTTAAAGCAGGTAAAAACCTTTAAACAGTCCTAAAGTATATCGTTCCTGTGTGCCTCTCACTTCGTGTTCTTGGTGAAATCACAAAGGTAGATTTGGAAACGCTTTATTGCCAAAACCTTCTTGTAGTTCTAATAATAGCAAATAACTGCAAGAGAAATACCTAAAAGTGTAGTGGAGGATGTTCATTTTCGACTTAGACATGGACTCAGTTTTACATATCCTTTGGGATTACTCCTTCCTGGAAATTCTGGTTCCAGTAGCTTATATAGAGTACAAAGAGTGAAAGCAAGATGCCATTAAAGATAAAAATATAACAGACAATATAAAAAGAGTGTATGTAGTACAAAAAAAGCATAAAAAAAAGAAAGTTGTAATGTCTTGGATTATGTTTCCCTTAGATAGGAAAATATCTGCAATATCTTTCTGGGTGGATTGTCAAAATAATTGGTTCTCCTAATTGTCAATCATTCTGTTGATATGTTTATGTAAAGCTGTCCTACGTGCTTGTCCCCAATTTCACTTAGAGGTGGCGAGTCTGATATAGTAGAAAAATTGCTAATCTTCTTTTACAAAGTAAGCTTATATGAGCGATGCAAACAGCAACTTTTAAACAGAGTGTGCACAAGGTGAAATGGGCTTGTGCAAGCTCTCGCACGTTCTTAATAGGCGTTCCCTCTCAGCAGTGGGTACAGGGTTGTGCATGTGCATTTTTTTTTTAATAAAGTGGAGAGGGCGGGTGTTTTCAAAAACTTGCGAAAATCCTCCATTATACCTTTTAGAACTGGAAGAATATAACCAATTTCAGTATAAACTTACGATATATTAGCTTATTAAAGTAGTTATTAAAAGAATCCAAATGTGTTCTCAGAATTTGTGTTTGGTCTCGAACTAAAAGCACTGCATGGATGGAGCTGTCTGCAGTGAGGTGGGCTGCACCTATGTTCTAGTGGGGGTGTGGAGATGCCTCCTTACTGTTCCCATCAGGGTCTGAGGCTGAGAGGGGTGTTTACAGATTAGATGTCCAGCCTGAGCCCCCTTAGTGTCCACCTCCTGATCCCTCACACAAATGGAAGATCACAGGGCGTGGAAAGATGCCTCTATCATCTGTACTAGGCGTCGTCCTGCACCTCAATGCAGCAGAAACACTAATGGCTTGGGGTTGGGTCTCATGCACCCCAGGCACAATAGCATTCTTAATGCACACAGTCATTGACATCTAGCCTCATTACAAAACTTCACATTATCACATACATGCGCACAACACCACAGGGAGGGAGAGTTTGAGGAGCCTGGTTCCCTTGGTCGCACCCAGCCCCTGTGCCAGTTCATCTAGAATGAGGAGAGTGAGGATGACCAAGGGGCTCTGACTGCACCATTTTTTTAAGTCATTTTCTTTATACTGTACTTCAGCTGATAATATCTTTATGCCTGCAAATGATTGTGGCATTTTTTTTTTTTTAAACTCATCCTAAAAATTTGACTTCAAATCCATAGCTACTCTCCTGCAATGCTTAAAACATCTTGCATCATGCAAAATGTATAAAGTATAGTAATATTGATCTTAATAGCGAGGCTTCCTTATCCTGGTTGACATGAAAACCTTTACTACAGTTTTTCTTTCATTTAAAACTTGAAATAGTAGTTTATTTAAAAAGCAAACAAATGTCTTAGGATATCAAACTAACTGAATCAACTAAAAAACAAATTTTTTCAAAGAATCAGGACTAACATTTGGGGTTGTAAATGACAAAATGTGAAAAGCTTAAAGGGGTTTAATTCCCTAAAAGTACCTCTTGCTCACCACACCTTATTTTCCACAAGTGTACTAACTGAACGTTTTACTGTCTTCTAAATGTGTTTCTGTTCCAACATCAGGAGCCAGCAGCTTGCACCGAAACAAAGAAAAAACTTATGCCTGTTTTTAAAAGACTCAAAGCATCCTTTCATGGCGTCTAGCAGCCTCTCTGAAATAAAAAGTCATACAGTTAAAGTGGCAGCCCACTGACTTTTTTTTTCACGGAGCCATTTCCACTTTGTCACTTAACCTTTCAAGAGTAGGGGAAAATTGAAATAAATTTTACTTCTACTTGGAAACCACTTTATCTTTGAGCAACACACACACACACACACACACACAGTGTACTCACCAGTTTGGCTACATAGCTGACCACCAAAGAGTCAATCTTCTTCTTCCCCAGTTGAGGCAGATGTCTATTGAGATGTTCTCTAAGCTTGTCGACTGTCTGCAAATGCAAGATACACACGTTCGGTATTTTTAGTGTATTACGTTTGGTATTGCATTTATTTGCATGCTTTATGCAGATATTTGAGAGCATGCTGGGGTCAAATTGAGTCCACCATGTAGTTTTCTGGCAATTTCTAAATATTTTGAAGAAGAGGGGAGAACGTGCAGATGTGAAACGAGGAAGAGGGTAAAAAGTCCGAGAAGCAGGGCTAAAGAAGTTTCTAGTAAGATTATTGAGGGCTAAAGATGATGTAAGTAGAAGTGATGGAGGGAATGTAGTGAGTAATATCAGTGGACTGGGTCATCCAAAGAATAGATTAACTGAACTCTATTAAATTGAGGCTATCTTTTTCTAAAAAAAAAAAAAAAAGAAACGTGCTGAGCACAGGGAAAACTCCAAAGATATGAAATTGTCCATCAAACACTGCACAGTTTTAATAAAGCTGGACAAGGACCTTAAGACGCCTCTTTTGTAAAGAGTCGATTCATTTGAAGTGTAACAGGAACTTCACTATAACAGATGACTGTGGGGGGGGAAATAACCGGTTGTCAGCATTTCACCGTGGATTTTCAGCGATCTATATATCAACTTGGGTTATGGGACAGGGGGGAGCAGTGGCAGGAACTGTTAAACATTTCTTGAGCAGACACTGGAGAGAAAAATCAACACGTGATGATTTAAATTAACATAAAGCATTTCAAAGCAGGCGGTGCCTCAAAAAGAGCTGCTGATAAGCTTTCCTGGCTCTACTCTTGGATTTTGAATTTATCCTTTTGAAGGATCACAGCCTTAGAAGAGAACATTTTAGCACGATCAAAACCAAAGAAATGCCTAAGATATTATCTACATTTTAAAGTAATATTTGAATCAATCTTTTTAAATTAAAATTTGAAACAACTGTACATGATTCAAAGTATATTTATTTATATATCTCCCTTGTAGGGCCGCAACTAACAATTATTTTGCAAATCAATTAATCTATTTATTGATTAATAATCTGACAACCAGAGGTTCCTTAAAGAAGATTTTTTTTACTAAATTAGAGTCATTGGATTAGTTCTGGATAAAGCATATTGACAGACACATTTTTTTTCATCCTTAAATGCAAAATGTTTACATATTTGTTTTACAATTTTGTTATAATTTCTGCTCTGAGTTCCGCTGTCAGCTAAAAGCATGTCTTACCATCTCTATACTCCATTTAACTATTAATCGATCACTAAAACAGTTGAGGATTATTTAAATAATCGATTAATCAGGATCAGGATTAATCCAATTAATTATTTCAGGCCTAACCACTTGTAGCTATGTTATAAAAACAAGGAATGTGTCACTTGATGGAACTTTGACGGTTTGTAGCCTGTTACTGACGCCAACACTTGGTAAAGATCACTAGAGATCATAAATGGTTGATCCATATTGTTTAGAAGCAGAGGTTTAAATTGCTTCTTTTTTAATTTCCTGTTGTCACCAGTTGTGGTGCAGTAGTAATTGTAGTTTGTATTTGAACAAATAATAAAAAGCTAAATTTTAGCTGTATTCTCCTCTTATTTTTCCTCTGATTCATAGTGCTACTTTTTTTTTTAAAAACAAATCTGCTCACATCAGCTTGTGTAGAGATGGACTGATGTCAGTCAGCCACTACAAAATAGCGATTCAAGCTTACGTCACACTGATCTGTGTCTTGCAGGGTCTCCTGGAACAGTGAGAGTTTGAATTAAACTGGTCCAGATGTGGAAAAAGCTAGATATTTTGATGTAAACACCATGCCCTTTCACATATTCTTATGTCCTACAATGTCAGGACTAGATAGTTGATAATGTTATGGTTTGCAAATGTTTTTTTCTCAGCTTTTAAGTGATTACTAAAAAACTAGTCAACTGGAAGGTCAAGTCATCAATTTCACTTTTGCTCCTTTTTAGACTGAGTTTAGTAAATCTTCATAATGCTGCATGAGGTATAATGATATTTCTGCAACATGTAAACTGTTCTGTTTCTGCATTATGCATGCAGATCAGCATTCTACAGTATGCCCAAAAGATCAAAGCATAAGGGCCTGTCCTGAAATCAAATTAAGTTTGATGCAGTGTTAAATGCATGGGAAGTATTATTTACCTAATGTAGCACATCTTCCTTTGACAGGAAGATAATACAGGAAGGGGTTGCAAACCTGCTAATCGACTGTGCAATTTACATTTGAAATTTTTCCATAAACAAGTAAATATCAAAACACCTCTTCACTCTTTTACAGGTTTGAATTTCTTTTTCGACCTTTAGCTTTAAGAATAACTTCAAGCTTCGGAGTTACTGAACAGCCTTCTCTCATTTAACCTGCCCAGGTCAATTTATATGCAAATAGCCCACCTCTACCATCCTAAGACAAATTTTCTATTTTCCACTTTTATGTGTTATAATATGCTATAAATATTTAGCATTTGCATAAATATTAAAATCTAAATGTTATCCTGCAGAAAAGACGACGAAGAGCAAACATGATGACCTTCTCAGAGGTAGTTTAAAAAGTTATGGATTGTGTTAATTGCATTCTTTTCTACAAGATTAGATATATAATATTCAAATAGACCTTTTTTCTAATGCATGAGCAAAAAGCTTTTATTCAGGTGATCAATGTTTAAGCATTATCCCTATGTGTATAGAACGTACTCCTTGGATTATTGATTTAAGGTATTTAAAACTTGAACCACATTCTCTCCGATGCACTTTGTTTTTTGTTTAAGATAAATGCATGCAAACGGTGATGTGCAAAACTTCATGCCTTCTCGCCTTCGTTGACATTATCTTGCCTTGTCAGTAGAAACGTTGTTTCCTGTGCTTTTTATTTCAACAATATCTAACCACTGTGCAGCACATTTGTCTCTTATCTTAACGTAACAAATCCGGTATTTTAAAAGGATATATTCAATAGAAACTGTTCACTTTATCTCCATATCTGTTTAAAGGGCTCGCGTCCAATGTCTGTGGCAGTAGGAAGACTTTTCGATTAAATGATGGCACCCTGTTGGCTTATCATATTTTAATTCCTTGCTTAGCACTTTGGTTTGTTCCATTTGTAAGCAAAACTGAGCACTTTTGTTTATTTACTATGGTAAATAAACAAAAGTGTGAAAATCCCCCCCAAAAAAATTCTATGCTAAGAGGGAAGGACATGAATAGACCTTGGAATATAGTATAAGTGTTTGTTTTCACCGAGGTAACCGATACGGCCAGCAGATTGCAGCAGCAACAACAATAAAGTTTGCTGATTGCATAAATTCTTTTCAGTCTCAAGGAGGACTAAGTAAACACTAGCAAACAATGGATGTATTTTTGCTCTCTTTTGACATTAACATACGGCTTTGAGCATTTTTTATAGATGTGACAAAGGTCCTTAAAACTTAAAATAGAACCAGAGAAGTTAGGATATTTTGGAAAATTCTTATTTTTTTCAAATTGTCGTCTAAACAAGAAATTTCTTTTGATAAAAAATCTTTTCTGTAATTTGGAAGTACGCCTTTGCTTAAATAGCGTGATAGCCATGGGCTGTTCTAGACAGGGGCCAACAGGGGCCAGTGCCCCTGTAGATCATGTCCTGGCCCCTGTTGTGGCCCCTGTACTAAAGACAAAATACTAAGAGAAATTCTAATGATGAAATGTGCCGGAGCAGACATGGTTTCTGAAAGGTTCTTTGGATCGATTTAATTTTATTTCTTAAAAAAATTCTGTTTTACTAATTATTTAAAAACAATAAGGTGATAGGTTCAGTGATATTGAAATAGGATCCCAGTTTTCATCTGTTTTTTCAAAACAAATAAAAAAAATACTTTGATTTTATAGAAAACTATAATTTTAACCTAAATTAAGTTAAAAATATATAGAATTCCTAAATGATGCATGTATATTGACCTAATATTCCAAATAATAGCTTTATTTTATCTACAATTTCTTGAGTTGATTTTTTTGCTATGCTAAGGGATTTTTATTTTGATTGTAACGATAATCCAAATGAATATTTTCAGAAAGAATACATAACATTTTAATTAAACCCAATTGAAGAAATTTCTCTTCATGCAGCTCTTTTAATATATTTGAATACCTTGCCCGTTTTTTTTTTGCTTCATGCTTTTCTGTGCCCCTCCTAAAACATGCTGCCCCCCCCGGAACATTTGGTCTAAAACCAGCACTGGTGATAGCATAATATTTCATTTTATCAGGGACATATAAGTCTGACAACCATTCCTAAACATGGCAGTATGTTTGTGTGAGTGCAGACTTGTAGCCTTAGGCGGTTTTCTCACCAGGCCGATGAATGCCCTTTGTTGATGATCCTCTTCTTGAAAAAGTGGCACCAACTTTTTATCTACAGAGGGAAAAGAAAACACACATAAAAGATGTTTTTTATAACCAAGTTTTGATGCCAAAGCAATATAACTGCAGCACTCTTATAAAGTAGCAAACTTTCTGTAAAAACGGGAAAAAAGTAAACCTTTTGGCAAGTTAATTAGACAAAAGAGATGATGACTTATTAATCAGCAGATACATTTGGTGCATTTTCTGCTTTAAAGATACATCTCCTAACCTCAGGGATTAGGAGGCAGCAACCCTACTGCGCGAGTCGTTTTATGTCTGCCTCATGAAAGCAGACCATGCTGGGGCGTAGATTCTTTGGACACACTTGCATACACAAATACTTTTCATCTTTGATCATTCACACAAAAACCAGCCTTTTTGATGTTATACTCTGACATGCTACCAATATAGAAAGCCCAGGCCTGGTAGATTTACAATACGCATGTTTGAGCTCCTATATGTTCTGCTGGAAAATTAAATGTTTTTCACAGAAGGATTCATGAGGATCTCTAAAAATGTCCATGATATGGCACCGAAAATCATCACCGAGTTGAATGGATTTTATTTAAGTGTTTTCAGGCCTGTAGTTATCCCTAATGCACCTTTTCCTACCAAAATATTTCAGTTCACACATTTTTTTTTTTATGAATAAACTTTAACAGAGAACTATAAACAGTCAGATAATTTGCAATTATCACCTGGTGGCACTAACCTCCCTGTACAGTTTGCAGTCTTTGTGTAATAACTGAGTATTCTACTGACCCTGACTAAGACACCTTTGTAGAGGAAACCTTTGCTGGTTTTAACATAGGGCAAAGTACTAAAATACTAGGCAAACTACATATGCTATTACTTTTTATGATATAAAAATTTCAACTGTCAGTTTAGTTATTAAAATATATATATTTTTAATGTTGGAAAGTCAATTGTAATACATTTATGAAAATGTAATTATTTTGTTCAATGTAGGGCTGCAGCTAAGGATTATTTTGCAAATCGATTAAACCGTCAATTATTTTTTCGATTATTCGATTAATAATCGGATATTAAATGGTTCCTTAAAAAATATTTATTACATAATTTAAACCAAGATAAAATTCAGATTTTCCCCCTGAGGAGTTCTGGATAGAGCATATTGACAGAAGGAAAAGATTTTTATCTTAAATGCAAAATGTTTACACTTGTTTTTTTTTTTTTTTTGGAGTGTCTATACTCCAGTTAGAAATTTATCAATTACTGAATTAGTTGAAGATTAGTTCACTATTTGATTAATTGTTTCAACCCCAGTTCAATGTTTATCATAAAAAGATCAATAAAGACAATAAAACAATAAAAATAAATTAAATGTTTTAATTTAATTTTTTAATATTAGGAGGCTTTAACTGGCTATGAATTAGGCATAACCCTGAAAATGATGCATTTTAAGCAATTTAATAAAAAGAAATTATACATCCTAGCAAAGTTAAACAGTGGTCTTGTTCTTCCAGAAAAAAAACACAGCAGGTATTTCTGTTTAAAATATAATATTGTGAAATATAACTGACTTGAGTAACTTTAACCCTTTGACTTCAGAAACAGTTTCCAGTTTAAGAACGCTACCGTTGAACTGTGTGGCTCTCTGCCATTGCCTTCCTCCTCTCAGTCTGTGAGAGCAGTCATTGCATGCTGAACACCCGCCCACATTCATGCCCCTCAGACAGTCTGCACCACATGTGGCTCCATCTATGCTCACGTCCGTCTTTTCAGTAAAATCAGAAAAGATTCCTATCCCAACCACAGATAGTATGTTTATTAATGCAAGCTATTGAAACGTGCTGCTTTAGATTACAAGTAATGCAACATAAAAAGGAAAAGCTAAAGCAGTTACTACATCGGTCGTAATTACCGAAATGCTAATACTTTTTTATCATATTCTAAGATATGTTGGGTATTTATGATTACATTTACTTTTATATAATGGGGAAAAATAGGTTTAAAATAAAAGCTCTGAATTCAACATGTTTCACTGATTATTTTTTTAAACGTACAACAGAAGAGAGATTGAAAATACTTTGGCTCACCGTCCAATTTTCATAACTATGAAGAGAAATCTGAAGGTAAATATATTATTATAGAAATTAAGCAATTATAAGCATGTTACATTGGCCTTTTTCCTATTTATTTTCACATTTTTGTGATTTCATCCACAGTTTCCCAAGCATCGACAGTTCTCTTTATATGCAGTTAAGTATTTCCAAGTAAACCCAGAGTGACTTCAGCAGCTGCAACTGATAATGGAAACAGAAAGCTGGAAAGAGAGAGAGGAGGGAAGTACCTTATTCCCCACTGTTATGTAATTTTATCATTCTCATTGTTTTCTGACTCATTTTACTGGGTTTGTTTCTCAACTCCCTCCTGCAACATGAATTATTTTCAGTGAACTCTCCTCTGGGCACGAGCAGTACAGGGATAGGCAAACACACTTGTGCAATGTTTGGTGTTGCATTATAAACTAAAGTTTTGTTATTTGCGTCATGCATGTGGTGTGTGTTTCTTCTCAGGGCTTTTGCTTGTAAGTTTATGTGTGTGTTCTTTTTGCTTTGGCTTACCAAGACACCAGGTGTCGACCATCGAAAGAACCCTGGAAAATAAGAAGAAAATTCATTATAATTTCTTTTTAAATCTCATGACAGTTTTCTGAAGTTCAGACAGAGGAGGCACCTAATTATAAGTTGAAGTCTCTTCGTTTGATCTATGGCTCAAAAAGAGCAGAGTTCTATTTAATTTTAAGCAGACCTGACATCAGTCCTCGCTGCACAGAGGTGTTTGTCCATCAAACTGCTTCATCTTTAACTGCTCAGAGACTGAAATCACCACAGTATGTTGTTTCTAGTATAATAGAAAAATCTGCCGAGAGCAGAGCATTTGCATAAAAAGGAGCCAACCGCGCTGTGACATTTACACGTCAATCAACGAGAAGACGGCTGCTTAAATTAAGAATTTTTATGGAAAAACTTTCTATATTACAACCATCTGACTTCCAATTGGTTGAAATTTAGATTTGTAGTGGCATGCAAAAGTATTTGCACCACTTATTCATGCATTTTCACTCCTATTCAGCATTTTTTGTTGATGGTCGCCTTTAGTTAGCACTACATGCACCATACTGACACGTGAAAGACAGCGTAAAGAACCAAACGTAAAGCTGCTGGGGAAGTGTTCATGTTTTCATAAATAAATAAATAAAAATAAAATAAAAGGATCAGGAAAAAAAAAATTTTATGGAAACTGAAGGGGCATCCGCCCAGAGGCGGAACCTTTTAATAAGGGAGGCCAGGCAATAACCAGCGTAGACTGAGGGGTGGCCGATAGTGGATCAGTGCCAGAACCTCATGGTCAATCTACACTGTTCCAACAGGAAAATTAACGAGCAAAACATCCATATTTTCTAAATAAAGAAAAACGATCCTTCCCTACAGCCTTTCTAAACAAATAGACGCATATATTTAAACATCCGTGCTTTCTAGATAAACGGTATAGTGGATAAAATTGTTTCAGGTTTGAATTATGGGGCGAACATATTTTCCATTGTCATTACTTACATTCTTTTATAAATAATCATTCTGCATAAAATTGATATCTAAAAGTACTAATATATAGATAAATTGATTATTTATTAAGCTTTTATTAAAATAGTTATCTATGATTTCACTGAAGACTCCTAGATGACTTGCAGAAACACATATTTTTTTCTTTACCCCATAAGACAAAATCTAGTTCTGAAAAGAGCATGAATTTTGTATTTATCATCTTTAATGTTAGTATATTGATGTGCAAATCCACATTAACCACACTGTTTTTGTTGTCAAGTAATTGCTTTTAATATTTAAATATTCAATTTGAGAGTACTACTTCTGCCATCATCTGTATTAGAGGGGGAAAAAATGGTAGGGGTGGCCAATGATTGGCTAAGGGTGGCCTTGGCCACCCCTGGCCCCCCATCTAGCTTCGCCCCTGCATCCGCCATCACTCTTAAAAAGTTAAGGCTTTTTATGTTATTTTAGGCAAGCTACATGAGCAGACAGCCCGTCTAATTAACCAGCTGCTGTTCTTATGTTTACATTTAGCTATAGTAAAAAAATAATTTCTGTATCGATTGTTTTCATTAACTACAAGTGAGAAACTGTAATAATTAACAAAAACAAAAGCCTTGACATTTTTATTCTATTTTATTAAGCTTTAATGCACGGATAAAAATAAGTGCATATACATGTCAACACAAAATAGATTCTATAAATGATATAAAAACATTCTAAAATAAATACCAAGTATGCATAAAAAGGTACAATTATTATTGATTTTTATGTTAGTATTTCTACCTTAGTCGTTTATGACAACTGAACAGAAATAGTATATTTATTTTAACTTAAGATTTCTTATAGTATTTTATGCACAGTTCAAAAAGTAACTTCATTTTACTAAAATGGTAAATAGTTGTTTTATGAAATAAAATAATAAAAAATGTGCAATGTGTTTTTAAAAATATGTACCAAAAGGTAAAAAGATTATCTATTTTAACGGCCTTATGTTTTCCTCGTTTTCTACCTTTTAAATTTCATTACTGCAAAATGTAGGAAAAGACTAAAGCAGAGGGTTTTGGATACTAATTTTAATTAGGTCATTAAACCTATTGAATTATATAATTAGAAATAAAAAGTACCACATATACGACCCTCGAAATATCAGTGTTGCAGGCCTTCTGCGGTTCAGTTGGTACCTTACGAGAGAGATTTTGTACAGATAACGCAAATAACCTGTCATGCATTCCCTCCCTCCTGCTTCATGCTGGTGAGTTTGGTCCATATATTTCTTATCAGAGCTGCAGTGGGAGGCAGACCTACTTCTTTGTGTTCTCCTCCAAGTGATTCACATGGTTGGAGGCTCTGCTCTCGGACCTCTAAAACAAAAACATCACCATAATGGGAGGGATAAAAGTGCTCTGCTAATGTTTGACAAAACCAAAAGGTACAGCATGCTGACAAGGACAGCCAGAAAAAGATCCCCCCACAAACACAACACTGACTGGCATTTCTAGAATAGAAGGCAATTCACAGTAGTTTATATGCATAAAAGCTTTCTTACTTTTTATACACAAACACACAAATAAAAGCAGCCTGGTCCCTTACCAGTTTATCCCAGTCGGCCTGAATGCATGAGGTTCTGTATCTTGCGTTTGGATCGGCATTCAGATATTTTGTCCTCTCTGTGTTCCACTGCAGCTCTGACCAGAAACCCTGGAGCCGTCCAGCCTGGACGGCAGTATATGGAAATAAACAAGATCCGAACAGCAAGGACAAAATAGAGTGAGGAAAACTGCTAATTAAGTGCAATAATGATAATGATGAAAAGGATTTTACTTAGCCACCCTTTAAATGTCTCGGATTTAGAATCAGAGTGTGTAGAATATGGAGAAAGGTTAGGGACATAAGATACTTGAGTGGAATGTGAACGTTTTACTATAGCCTGAATATTTCATAACTGAAATGCAAAAAAAAAGATCATATTACTTTAATTAAATCCCAAAACAACTGTTTCAACTGCCTCTGAAACAATGGATTACTTGTTACAGGTATTATGTTAACTGTGACATTCATATTGCCTTAAAGCGCAGGGAATATGAATGTCACAGATAGCTTCTCATTTAATGAAGCTCAGTCAGCTGCCTAAGAACGATGCTAATTAGCCTTTAGTTTTCACACCACTGATGTTTGTGTTTTTGGTGACTAAAAATGTATCCTAACAGCCTTATATGCTTTTATTGTAAGCCAAAGAAATTGCTAGAACCTTACTGGCCAGCAATGGGCAGAAACAAGTGGGGGAGGGGCATTTCTCTCTTAATTTTCGCTCCATACAACTGAATAAAACTCATCCCTTCATCTAAAGATTATAATTTATTTAGATGTCTGGCATGTGAAGATAATTTCTTTAAACTAAGGGAAACGGTTTGATAGGAAAATATTACAAGATTAACAGTTTAAAACTTCCAACTAAAAAAAATATAATTTATAAATAACATTTTTTTAGATGCATAAAAAAGTTTTTAATACCTTTCCGTTAAAATCAGCCTCAATATGCAGCTCAGTGGTACAAAAGACACCAGGAAGCTCCAATAAGCACGCTGGGACTTCCTGAAACAAAAACATAAAACACACTAAATGTTGAGAACAAGGATAATTAGAGGTCATAATTATATATATATATTTTTTTTTATATGATTTAAAGATTTCCCTTTAGCTTAACCCGAAACGTTGGCCTATTTACCAGACAGGGCAGACCGATGACGTCAGGGAAATCTGGGCTTGGAGCCAGAACTCCCATATACAAATCCACTGTTTGCACATCTATATGCTGGTATCTGTGTTTTCTGGCTTCACAGTGTGTGTATATACCTTTTTTTCAAATATTGATGAAAAGGGCAGGACCTTATCAAGGCCAAGAGACTTCTCATATCCCATTCTGGACAAAGATGCTGCATGAGGGGAAACACAAATGAATATCCAACTACAGCACCAAAACAAGCTATCAATAACAAACTTTGAGTTATATGTATATCTGCATTTATAAATACTTAACCACGAATGCAATCAAGGTACAATAAGATAAATAAATTATCCTTCTGTCTAAATTCTAGCATATAACTTAAAGATATTTAAAGGCCAATAAATACCAATTTATATTAAATGTTATTATATAACTTGGGTGTTTTTTTTTTTTTGTTTTTTTTTTTTTTGTTTTGTTTTTTTAAGTTGACTAACATTTTAAGTGTTTTGCTTTCTGTAATAACCCTGACATCTATTCTCTGTTTCAAGTACACTGTCTCCAAGGTCTCCGAAAAAATCTATTTTCTAACTGCCCAGATTTGTATGGGTGATTTGGCACAAGTTAGTAAGGAGAAATTTGAGAGATAAACAAACTTGATGAAAGAATTTAGCTTTGTGTAGACCAGATGTAAGCATTCAAGTGGCTACAAACTGAACAAGGTGGAGAGAAAAAAAAGGAGTGCAGTAAGACTTTAAAAGGGAGAATGAGGGGTTTAAACAGACCTAAAATGAACTCTTGGATCTGATTGAAGGAATCAAAGGAGTTCATGTTGTCACACAGCCATTCGATAATCTGTAATGAAAGATTCACAATAGAGTTGACTGAACAGGGAGGAAGTCTAACATATGTCTTGTTTTTTAAATTACTGTAACTTTTAGTGGTTATTTTGTTCATTTGGGATAAGGAGAAGCTAAGCTAGCTTATGTCAAAAACAATAGTCAGTTTAATACTTTAGGAAATGATTATCTACAGGTTGCGTATTTTAACATTTTTGTCTCCTTTACTATGATGGAGTATTAGGGCCAGGCTAGAGATTTATTTTTTTTAATTCAAGAATAAAGTCATAATATTATGAGAATAAAGTCATAAAATTATGAGAATAAGGTTGTAACATTACGAGAATAAAGTCATAACATTACGAGAATAAAGTCATAAAATTACAAGAATAAAGTCGCAACATTGCGAGAATAAAGTCGCAACATTGCGAGAATAAAGTCGCAACATTGCGAGAATAAAGTCGCAACATTGCGAGAAAAAAGTCGCAACATTACGAGAAAAAGTTACAACATTGCGAGAATAAAGTCGCAACATTACGAGAATAAAGTCGCAACATTACAAGAATAAAGTCGCAACATAACGAGAATAAAGTCGTAACATTACGAGAAAAAAGTCATAAAATCACAAGAATAAAGTTGCAAGATTATGAGATGAAAAGTGGTAATACTGCAATGATAAAGTTGAAACATTACGAGAATAAAGTCATAACATTATGAGAATAACGTCATGAAATTACAAGAATAAAGTCGCAACATTACTAGAGAATAAAGTTTATTCTCATAATATTGCAACTTTATTCTCATAATGTTACGGCTTTATTCTCGTATTTAAAAGACAAAATCTCTAGCCTGACCCCAATACTCCATATCTTCACTGAATTTATAGAAAATGTATCCTCAGCATGACCATTCTTGAGGGTTGCTGCAGAGATTTTAAATTGGAAACCACACTCCACACTTTTTGTTATTAGTACCAAAAACTTTCATCTGAATTTGTTGAGTTTTCTCACAAAAAATCAGAAATTCTAACAACCTTCATGATAAACCATGTAAACCTCCATACCATGCTGCATCTGAGCTCTGTGCTTTAAAGAAATATATTTCTGCTATGTGTCCATTTGAATTAGCATCTTTTGAACGAAGCAGAAATATGAACAGGCAATTACTTTTATTAAAGGCAGCTGTCCCCGCTGATAAGGACAACAACACAAGCTGTGTGGAGTGTGATAATTTTTTTTGCAAGGTGAACTAATGAAGCTGTTGAGTCATTTAACCTTTGAATACATAATTCATTTCATCTGCAAGGGCAGCTGGGATATCGCATTTTCGATGGAATACTAATAAAGTCTTAGTCATACTCGGCATGGTGTCCAAACCAAATATCAAGCCGTTTATTTCTGTCTTTGACTCCCACTTGTCTTCTCCTCTCACTGGTTTAATCACAACATCATGTAATGTTTATGTTTCTGCTGCCTTTTTTTCTACCAACTCAAGGTTGACACCTACAGCTTGTATACAGAAGTGCAGAAAATAGGAGATTTTAATGGGATCTATGAATTACTCCCATGGAATCAATTTTCCTTGAGGAGAGGTGTCTGAAAGTGACTGTATATGCATTCTTCCTCCTTATTTCCACCCTCCCTCTTTGCCTCAAGGAGAGCGCATTGATCTTGTGTTGCCCAAAACCCAGCAGCAATCAATGGCTTTGTTTCTCTTGATTTTATTTTCCACAGATATTATTGAAATGCATTGCCAAATGCAAGAGTGAGCTCTGTGACTATGGATTTTGGAGGTCAATATATTTGTCCACACACTCTGTTATACTGTCTGCATCTGCACCTTTATTTCCAGCTTCGGGTCATCTCCCATGAAAACAAGGAGGCAGTGGAGGGCAGCCAGGCGATGAGGGTCGGTCCAGCTGCGGGGACACCTTGGGCAAAGGTGAAAAACAAGAAAATTGCATTTAGAACATAAGTGGATGCAGATAAAGAGGCTAAAAGCTGACATAATACCACTATTAGTTTAATATGCAACACAAGACACAGGTATATATAGAGACGGACATAAATCCTTTTTACAAACAATAATCTAAGTAATGCTTTGGTGGAAAGTCCTAAACAAACAATTTCCTCAAGAATTTGAAGATGTAGAAATAGAGCCAATATCATCAATATCATGAAAGATGGTGGCGGCAGCATCCTGGTGTGGATGTGCCTCAGGGAGAGGGAAGCAAGTCAGGGTTATCTACAGATGAATCTAGAGCTAAATACATACTGGAAAGTCTGTTGCAGGCATCAAAAGTTTTTTAAACTAGACAGAGGTGCACCTTCTTTTTTTATGGTCTAGTCAAAGTTCAGACCTTTAAATAACTAAAAAAAATTTAAGTTTTCAGAAACTCTTAAGCTAATCTGACTCATTTAGAGCTACTTTCTGATCTTTTCAAATTTCATAGTTATGATGTTATGCAGAATGTGTAAGGATGTAGGGGGTGTGATTACGTTTTAAGGTTTTCCACATGCATGTTTGGTAAAACAGAAATCCAAATGAAATGCTGTCTCACAGGTACACAGAGGAAAGAAACCCAGATACATCTTTATTGAGTCGGATTGTTCTTTCCAAGCTGTCGGCTTCCAAACACTGATTATATTTCACATTCTGGGAGTGTGTATGTACAAAAAGAACTTTTGCCAAAAAGAAAATAACCCTCTGTTTCCACCTGACTGCTTCTTTTCTTGCAATGCTCCTCCGAAACTATGCTCTCATATTTCTTGTCTGCTTATTTTTAGGATATTTAAGTGACAATTCCTGTATTTCTAGACAAATGTTTTGCATGCAACTCACCCAGGACGTGTGTCTGATCTCAGTATCTGCAGCAGGTAAGCAGGGCTAAGCTCAGCTGTGTGAATTGACCCACTTGCCAGCTCCAAAAGATGAACGCTTGTTTCATTTTCTTTGTGCATCACTGTGAGAGCATCTGACTGATATGGAAGGCCTAAGTTATCATCCTGACCTTAAGAGGGTTGGAACAGACAAAGAAACATACTTATAAATCAATTTTTATGTGCAGCCACCACTAAGCTTTGATTTGAGTTACCAGTTAGAAAAAGAGAATGACAGAGCATCTCATGCTGCCTGGTGTTGATGCAGTGGAGGAAATAACCCTGCAGATACACCAGGATGTAGTAACCTGCATGTAAAAGAAACAAAGTCAAATTTTTGGTGCATTTTTGGAATTTTTTTGTTTGTTTGTTTGTTTGGTTTTTTTTGCAAAAGCAGCATTTATTAAAACCCAGAGTTGTTTTTTTTCTGCAAATAAATCGAAATATCCTGCACAACCATTTCATACTCTCTTTCCTTTTACAAAAACAAATCTAATGTGTTATTGTTGGGATTTTAGTTGATTCTCCAATTATGTATTCGCAAATAATACATCTCGTTTAATGCTGGTGAAGATTCTCAGTCATTCCAAAAAAAAAGTTTAAAAAAAACACTGGACTTTTATTTCTAAGTCTGAGGACATTTTACATCCCATCCAGGAAGCTTTCTGAATTCAAAATGTCTAGAGTACTATCCGGCTTTATAGAACAGCCCAAAAAAAGCCTTGTTATGGCTTAGAAAACATGCAAATTGAACCAAAATGGGTCCACCCCTTTGTAATGGGGAGATGTTAAGGTCGTTCTTGGCATGTAAATAACCCAAACTGGCCCATGCCTCTGTAATGGGGAATCATTAGGGTTGGAAGGGGAGAACTCAGGTTTCAGCTCTCAGAAACCTATAATGCAGCGTTAGAGTTGATTCCTTCTCACTGTCATCTCAATCTGCATCACCATGAAGGTGGTCAAACATCGCTCCTGTGAGTCACGCCAACAACGACCCTAACGACTTCCCATTACAAAGGAGAGAAAACCTGCAAATTGAACCGAAACAGGTCCAAAGACATAACAAGGCTTTTGTTGGGCTACTCTATAAAAGCCTGGAGCTTAATGCGACTCCAGACTTTTTGAATTGAGAAAGCTTCCTGAATTGGAAGAAAAACATTTTTCAAACTTGGAAAACAAAGTCCAGTGGTTTGTTTTCAACTTTTTTTTTATACGTTTTGTTATCTTTTCCTTCCCTTTTACAGTAAAGTTTACATCTTAAAAGTATCCTGGTGTTCGTTTATGCTATATTGTGTGTGCAGAGACCTATGGGGATGAAGAGCGGATGGAGCTGGTGTGAAATCTGTGACGGTTTGTCGTTTCCAGGAGACACTCTGAACCTCTTGCTGCAACCTAAGGAAGTGAAGTGTGAGGAACCAAATATTTTTCCATGCTGAGGATGAAATAAGTCCAGGAAAGAGGTAAAACAGTGCTCACCTTTGTGAACTAAAACCACTGTGTAGGTCAGTTCCTGTTTTTCTTTTAGTGGCTGACTGTAGCAAACACACATGCTTCCTAAAAGGGTCAAACCAGAACACAAATCAGTTAGATTATAACAAATCTACTGGAATTTCTAATCTACTTCCAAACAATTTATTTATCTCACTTTTGTAAAATAAAAGAGCAAGAAGGAGAATATGAAGCTTCAAATAAATGCATGCATCACATAACGGTTTAACAAGATGTTGTTTGGTTTTGTTTCCATAGAAACCTTCTTTTTATTTAACAAAAACTCCCGAATTACAGTTGTAGATGTTTTGTAGGTTTGTGTTTGCAAAATGAAATAAATGTTTAAAAATAAAATATTTCTTCACAATTCAGGTCACAGTGATGAGGCAAAGAGCACAATGTTGAAAACAGTTACAAAAATAAAAAATAATTGAAAAATGTTGGTATATCCAGATTTTATTGTCTATATGTTCCTTTCATTTTTCCACCCACCCCTATATGTAATTTCTTCCTATCTATCCTTCAACTTTCTGGGTTTTGAAATTATAGATTTAAAGCCTTTACACCTCATTAAGTACATCTGTATCACTAGCTTATAAATAAAGTAAATATAATTCAGATGAACAAAGAATCCCACACTACAGTGGATTCTGTAAAGTACTGATTTTTTTTTTGCCCCTGACAACTTCTAAAGATGCTTTCTTCTGTTTTCTTTAAGGCATAGATCTAAAAAAATAAAAAATAAAAAAAGACGGCGCAAGTGGGGAGACCATGACTGAGCCTTTGTTGTTGACGAAAAAAACATAAACCAAAAAAATACAGAACCAAAAAGATAACAGAAAAAAAAAACAATTTCCTGATTTAAAGTGTCCTATTGTAAATTTATGAATTTGTCACCTAAGAACATATATTCCCACTTATTAATATTTCTAGTGGAATTTTGCAGTATAATAATTAATCAACTTCCACATAGAATAACAGATCAAGGTGTTTTCCTACTTTCCATTGCATTTATTTATCATAACAGAATTTTGAAATAAGATCTTCCTCTTTTTTCCAAATGTTTCATCAAAATGATTTTTGTGATTGAGAAAATGCAGTGTCTGGAAAAATGATGTATATCCATTTAAACCATTAACATTTTTTTCATGCTGTAAAAACAAAGTTCAAATCTGTTAGGGTTTTAAACGATAAATTAACACAAATTAGTGTTGAAGGAAAAGGATTCATGTCTTTTTTCATATCTACAATAAAAAGGAAAAGAGTTGCACTTGTATAAAACCCAGTAATCGATTCGTTATGGAAATGCCTCGTACAATAGCCACAGTTGTCATGATCTTGGCGCTGATGACTCATTTCATTCACCTACCTAGTTCCACCCAGTTCTCATTACCGTTCATCTGATCCACCTGCTTCAGCCTCTATTTAACCAGCCTTCAAACCAGTCATCAGTGCCAGAATATTTGAGCCTTTGGTGAGAGTTCTCTAGTGTACCCGTGTTTACTGATTTCCTTATCCTGACCGTTCTGCCTCTGGACCTCTAACCTTGCCTGTTCCTGTTCTGATCTGTTTGCCTGACCTGTCTTCAGACTCCTGCAGGATTTCTGCATGTCTGTCAAATGAAACTGGAACTGATTCCTGACACCGCCCTGGATTTCCCTTTGGTACCTCTTTGCACCTCTAAACTCCTGGGTCTGGCTACTGAGCACCTCTGCGACACCGGCCAAAACTCCACCCTCTGGATTATCCTGCATTTCTTGGTCTGCTCCGTTCTGATCTCTTGCCTGTCATCCAACCTCCCAGAGACCAGCGCCTGGGACTCTCTGGAAGGCGCTGGTCGTGTCTCGTTGTCAGCCGACCAGCTGGAACCAACCTCTTCCTATGGGCTCGGACTAAGCTATAAGACCAGGTTAGTGACTCGCACGTCCATAATCCTCCTCTGCCAGATGGACATGGTCACTAATTGTTGTCTCCTCCTGCAGAGGTCCCTGCATTTAGACACCAAAGCTGTTCACTGCAGTTCCGCCTTCAATAAACCCGTTTTGTTAAGTCTAACTATCTTTCTGCCTCGAATACTGGTCCTATTGTTCTGAGCCTGACAAAATGGGCTAAATCTGTTAGATTTACACATCCAGTGACTGAAATTGTTATAAAAGTGTTTAGGGCAAATAGCTCAAGCTGATTCGGACTGGCTGGATAGCACGTCTGTAAACCTCAGTATAAAAGAAAAGCCTCACCTACAGATTAATCCTGCCATTGTGGGCTTGTTTCCCTGGAGTATGTTTGCAATTGTACAAGTTTGAAAAACCATGAGTCCTTTTCCTTCCACCTTATAATCATGCAGTTTTTACTACAATTTAGCATTTTCTTAGTTTACATATAAAGATATTTGTGGTTGTAATGCGACAAATTGTCACTGCAACAATAATACAAAAAATAGAAACAAAAATATTACACCTGCTTTTTTTTCCCCCCAAACAATAAATATATGTGAAAACAAAGGACGTAAATATGTTACCGATTTGGTTTGTGAAGACCTGCATCCTAACAAGCTCCTGCTCAGGTTTTTCCACATGATAGTGGTCAAACCCCAGACTTACAAATCTGTTGGACACAAACACACACAGCCCACACTCAAGGTCAGGATCAATGCAGAATACAGATTGGTTTTGCAAGGCAAAAGCAATGCCTTACTTACCTTACTGTGCAAAAAGCATTAGCAGGCAACTCTAAAACAAGCTCCAACTGTTTAGACGCATAAGAAAATTAGTTAATGCTAATGCACAGTGGTGAAAATCACAAAAGGTTTCAAACGTTATATTATTACCTACCACAGTATCACAGCTATGGCTTGGGTGGAACTGAATGCATCTCAGCAGGAACTTGTCCTGCGAATAATATATTTATGTAGCTTGTTTTATTTACAGCTTTTTAATCAGGAGGAAAAGGACTAAGGAGCAGGTATTTGTTATGCACCACCTTGCGAGTGAGATAGTAAAGCCTTTGTGTGTGTCCGTCCCACTGGACCCAACAGAAATCCTCTACAATCTTTTCCGCCGCTCTGGACAAGCGCTCGGGATTTGAGATCACCTGGTACACATACATTTGTATTCAGCCTTGCAGATGCACCAAATTTATAATGCGAAATCTCCTCTAGAGGATAACACACTCATAATATTATGGCTCATGTTGAAACAGTATTCTTTGCTCACAGCTTTGGTAAATGCATTACAATGATTTTTCCTAATTATCCATTGAACGTGTGCTTTCTTAGGCTTGAGAAATGTCCACACAATTTATCAGACAGGGCAACCTGAATGCAAATTACTTCTGTTTTACAAAAGAAGTTGGAAGAATTGTATAACTTACCACTCTGTAGCCTTCATGTTTGCTTAGAAGTACATGGTATAGATCCACATCTGAAACGTCAATAATTCAATGTTTCAATATGTTTTTTCTTTTCTTTTTTTAGATTTTCTGTCTGTTTTCATCATGTATTCTGCAGCGGATTTTTTTAAATATACACTTCAAAGAGAGGAAAAAGCTAAAACTGACATCCGTCTTCAGCGAACAGAAGCAGATGGCTCTCCAGCCCCGATTTCCAATCAGTTTCTTGATGGAGGAACTACAACAAACATAATGCAAATTAAAGAAAGCCAACATACCATGCATAGAACTTTTCATTAATAAGCCCCTTACAACATATAATTAACTTCTACTGATATTGCCTTAGAAAAAAAGTTATTTTTGTAAAACGAGGAAAACACTGCTGTTTTTCTGACTTTTCTCTTATATTCTATATACCCAATTTGATGGGTTTACACAATTAATATCAGTTAAATAATTCAAATAGATTGCTAAAGCAATTAATTGGATTAATTTTGATGAATCAATTATTTAAATAATCGTCAAATATTTCAGTAAGTGATTAATCGTTGATTGGAATGTACAGAATCTGACACATCATTAGCTAAAAGAGCAACCTAATCAGGGTAGAAAGGATGGCAAAATTGTAAAACATGTATAAACACTTTGCATTTAGGATAAAAACCTTTTTTAGTGTGAGAATCTATCCAAAACTTCTTAAATGGCATGAAGTATCAGGTTCACCAGGTTTTAATTCTGTATTAATTCTTCTTTAAGTCGCCCTTTGCTATCTGATTATTAATCGATTAAGCAAACAAATAATTGACAGATTAATTAATCAATTGGCGAAATAATATTTAGTAACAGTCCTACATAAATCCTTATGCTTCTAACCAATCCCTGATTTCCTTTTCTTGAAAATACCTGCAGGAACTCTACAATTTGATTTTTAGCTTTAACTGAGATCAAATCCATATTTAAAAAGAGAAATCAGGCAACATGTTTAAACCATACCTGTACTTTAACTCTGCAGTCCACTGCTTTGAGCACTTTGGTGTTGTTTATGGGATGGATCTCAATCAGCAGAGTCAGACACTTTGATACTAGACAGATAGGCAATGCGAAGAAATGTTCATTAAAATAAAAAATAAAAACTCCTGTTATCTCTAAAAAGGTTTTAAATCACTTAAAGGGCAGGAATTTTAAAAAGCAGCATGGTTGATGTTACTTGGTTTGAGTCGCTCCTGTCCCCTGGTGTTCTGTGCCAAGCTGACAGCTGAAAGTATAAAAGAAAAGGCCAAAGTAATGCTGCAGGAAAAAAAAAAATCTGTATTCATTAACTATGCTTTGCCATGCCTGCACAGAATATATAAGCTTCTTCCCTGGTTTTATTTAACACATTTCCTCTATTATAAAAGCATAAAGTCTTACACCTGAGTGGCTCTCCAGATACACACCCTTACATTTGATGTGAGGGTGACAATCAGGTTTACAGAATGACTTTTCCTGCTGTTAGATCTGCATTCGTGCATGACAGAAGCTCACCTAATAATGTCTCCTCCTTGTTCAAAGAGCAGCTGCTGACACACACCTGTTTGTCGAAAGTATAGAGGAGCTGACGGGGCAAAATACACAGGATTCAGTGTGTAGGTCTGCAGCTACTAGATGCAGCACTAATGCAGAACTCTGTATAAACAAACTGGGCACCTTGTTTTGTTTAGTGTTGGGGTCATATTTCCCAATCCTGGTGGTGCCTGTTGCTCCCTTTTAAGAACAGAACAGAATACTATGTTAGGGTCATCAAGCATGTGTGGTTAAAGGGATACTGCAGCTTCTTATACATCTAATAAAACTATACATCTAGTAAAACCTCAAGTTAATCATTTCTCTTTCTAAAGAATTAAGGAGCTAAACACCAGGAGCTGCTAATAAAATGTTAACTGATCAGTAATTAAAAGCAAACTACTAGGTGTTTGATAGTACAAAATCAGAGCTTACTAAGGACAAAAAACTACTGAATATGGTGGCAGAGGAATGATTATTTGGGCTTAATCAACAGCAACTGTAGGAGGAGTTTTCATTGCAATTTTTGGGTCAACCGGGAACTCATCTCTTTACAAAACAAGGGGTCAAGATGATTATGGAACACACAAGGTTTAAAAGAACAGCCCATAGAAACTTTCTTTAGCAGCAAGCTAGTCTGCCTTACTAACTTGAGCTAAATAGAAAGAAGAAAATTTCAATTTTACTTTTGGTAAATTAATGTTGAACTTATTTCCTTTCTCTTCAAGCGCCATAAAAGGGGACTTCAGTTTAAGTAGCACCCACTTCCTGTATTAATATGCTCTGGTGTTATGGTTCTCCCCTTTTGGACTTCTTTTTGAGTTTTCAGTTACTTAAGTCATTCTGTTTTGTTGGTCAGTGGTTTCTTTTCCATTTTGTGTTATATTTAAGCTGGGTTGTATTTCTTGAGTTACTCTCTGTTACCCCGTTTTGCCATTCTCCTTTCCCCTAGCTCCCTTCCAGTTACTTCTTTCCAAACCTGCTCCCAATTAGCTCATTAGTCTATTCCTTGTTCTATCCCCCATATAAACACCTCCACTGCAGTTCCTCACTGCTGGTTTCTTGTTACCTGGCTCCCTATGTGTGTTTTCCCCTGACGTCTCCTGTTCTTTCATTTCCTGTATTTTATTCTTGGAGTTTGTTTCTGTTCCCTTTTTTGATTTCATTAAACCTGCAAGAACTCAATCCTGCCTCCCTCATGTCTGCATTTGGGTCCTCAACCAACTTCCACCCAACTTTGACATCTGGTTAATGTTCCTAATCTGCTAAAAGTGCATGGCTCTATTTTTCCATTTGGATATAACCAGAATGCAATAAAAGACATTACTGTCATGTAATAAAATCTGTTATTTAATCAAATTAAATGCCTAAAAAGTGAAGTACACTCGGACTAGCGAAAGAAAATCCCAAACTCAGGCACTCAGAAGACATGACAGTCCTCAACCTCTAAGAGCTGCACATTCTTTAGGGGGTCTATCATTAAATATTCATACTGTGAAGCAAAAGAGCAGACTAGTTTCCAATTCTAGATACGATCCCAAAAATACCCAAAAGTGTCAAGCTGATTTATAGCAGAATAAAGAGAAAGTTTCCCTTTTTTTCATTTGATAGCACACACACACAGTAATGGTGTGCTATGAGCGATTCCATATAGGATGAAGCAGCCTTTAAAATGTGATCATATTAAGATACTTCTAGTGAAAGAGCAACATAAATAATACTGCATTTTTATATCAGTATTCTGATCAATAAAAATGTTTAATTATAAAGTGCTTTGCTCACAAAGAGGACAAGAATTATCACATGTATCATGTTGTGTAAATCCTTAAAACTAAGCATGCATGAAACAGCTTTAAACCTAGAAGGAAAAAGTATATAGAATGAAATTAGCTTAAAGTGAATCTCCTGCAGAATGTAAAAACAATCAGATATAGAGCTTACCTTCCAAGAATAAAGCATACTCCCATCTCGTTCAGTGTTAAGGATTCGAGGGTCCACATCCTCTGAGTATTCTGGTGGTACAGTATTATTACCATTAAGCCATGCAAAGAATTCATACCCCCTATAACTGTTCTACTTATATTCTCAACAAGATTTACGTTTGGCTTTTGACTGGGCACTCCTAAAACAATAATACTTTATTTAAATAAAATGGCTAGATGTTATTCATCTGATGGATTCTGCATTGCTTTTAATAAGTTTTCTCTGAAGAATTGGCTGCATTTATTTCCATCTAACTTCCTATCAACTCTAACCTGATCTATTGTCCCTATTGATTAATCTTCTTCCTAGAGCATGATGCTGCCACCACCATGTTTTACCATTTAAGCTTTTTTTCTCTAGACTGTTTTCTAACAGATAATTTTTTTAAAAGGTGGACTTTAAAAAGGGGATGACTATAAATACATGTTACACTATTCATTTTAATAAAATGATTCAGAAGAATCTAAGATGATTTCTCTCATTTCAAAATTGTTTACTACTTTCCATAGTATAAAAACCCTCTTAAAATACATTGAAATAAATAGCAAAGAGAAGCCTCCATAGAATCAGAGTCAAAATCGTGTACATCGTGTACAATTTATTACTCAGTAATATCAAAATAAGTTTAAAAAAAGAGACAAAGAAAAAAGTTAATATTTAAAAGATCTGTGATTTGAAGTGCATTATTTTAAAACCATCTAGGCAATTTATATAATGCACCATGACAGAGCTCTACATATACCTATTTTTAACAAAACAAACAAACTGGTGAAAAGTGTATGCTTACAATGGTTTATTACTATTATTTGCAGCTATAACAATTATTATAACGTTTCCGCTTTGTAAAAGGGCAAACAGCTCCACCTGCTGTTCATTATGCGCATTATCAAGATGGCTATATAACAAATCACAGCTGCTCTGATTTCTTTGTAGCTGATAAAAACTTTTTAAAGATAGTTGAGTAATAATTGTTGATTGTATATTTAAGCTTAGACATATAAGTTCAATTATTATTTTTGCCAAATATCTCTGCAAACACCTGAACGCCTCACCTTTCACCCTGCAGACTGAAGCCTCTTTCCTGAGGAGATCAAACACCACATCTTTCTGCAGGTCAAACTGTTGCTTCAGCTTTAACATGCCTCATCCAGTCCGCTGTATTGTTTGTTTGTTTGTTTTCTCCAAATCCGCTCGCAGAAAACAGATTCCTTCTTAAACTCAGGCAGCTTACGTCTGGTTTCCGCTTACATCATGTGACCCAGAGGGTTTTTAAGAAAAGGCTAAACTACAGACTGCACGGATAAGCTTAGATCATACTTCCTCTGGACTTGTCAAACTTATTTTTAATAACATGCGGAAACAGCAGGCTGTTTCTGAGTTAACCACACCCTCTCCTGGGATCACACAGACCTGCTGCCATTGGTGCGATGGAATGTCTCACTGCAACGCTGCAGCATTCCGCAGGAGAGTTCACAACTTTAGAGTAGCATTTCGTTCTAAAAAAAAAAAAAGACTATATAATAAATAAAATACTAGTTTAACAGATACACAAATATAATAAACAAGTATAATTTTGAAAACCTTTAATCTATTTTGGCAAAAGGGTAAAACTGTTGATTTTGAGGAACATATACTTTAGATGAATGGTATGATCTAATCAGTGATTAACAGGTCTACAAATTTAAACAGCGACTAATTAAAACCGGGAGCGGTTGTTCCTATAATTGGTGTTTTTTTTTTTTTTTTTTTTTTTTTTTTTTTTTTTTTTTTTTTTTGTTTGTTTGTTTTTTTACTTGAATTGTTTAGTTCTTATTTTATATATTTATTGGACTATTTGACATTGTAATGCCTGTTGAAGGACTGGGTGTTTTTGTATTATTTTTACTATT